CTCCTCCTCCCCCTCCCCCTCCCCCCTCCCCCCTCCCCCCCCTCCTCCTCCTCCTTTTTTAAAGCTTTTACTTACTATTTTTAGAGAGAGGAAGGGAGGGAGAAAGAGAAACATCGATGTGCAAGAGAAACACCGATTGGTTGCCTTTTGCAGGCCCCCAACTGGGGACCTGTCCTGCAACCCAGGCACGTGCCCTGACTAGGAATCAAACCCAATGGTGACCTTTTGGTTCCCTGGCCAGGACTCAGTCCACTGAGCCACACCAGCTAGGGCTCAGTCACTTCTTTAAGTCAGCTTCCCATTTCAATGACTGTGGGAGCTGAAGGTGGCAGTACGGGGCCTTGAAAGGAGCTCTGTTCCAGGAGTTGGGAGACCTGCTGCCAATAAGTTGTATGACTTGTCCTCTCTGGACCTCAGTTTTATAACCTGTAAAATGAGTTAGATCAGGCTGTCTTTAAGGTCCCTTTCTGTACTACATTTTATACTGTTTCTTGATTTAAACCACTGAGCCACAAATGAAAGATTCCAGTTGTGATAGTGTAATTAGGCTTAGTAAATGGGTGAGATGAGAGGGAAGGAGATATTCTTGCCCATAGGATTATTTTTTCCCTATCCACTTCCTTGTGCCTCCCGTGGTGTTTTCAGAACACAAATAACAACCCTTGTTTTTCTCCACGTTCCTTGTTTTTCTCTGTGTTCCCATTTCAAACCTATAATCTCCTTTTATTTCAGTGAACTTGTGTTCACTGTAAGACAACAGTGGTGCAAAATTCATGTAGCAGTGTTTGGTTTTCTCTCTGCTGTGGTGAACTTGATAGGGGTTAGAGCTCATCACAGCTGATCCCTGGAGGGCTTTCTGTGTGTGAGAGAGATTTATTGTGCTGGACTCCAGTGTCTTTTCTCAAACCCCAGTTCTGATTTTGCTGTTTTTCAGTTAAAACCAAAAATTATGAAGGAAGTAGGTTCTTGCCCTCTGAGGTTTTGGAGATTTGTGGTATAGCTTAGGGGTGAGGAGCCCCTCTCTTTTTATTTCTATTTCCTTTGCTTGGGGCGTTTCCTCTTGAGAAGGTAGAAATGATCTTTGTTGAACATCATTGACTCCCTGTGCAAGAGAGAGTAATACTGAATACTGGTGACTTACTGAGTGATTTCTTTTTAATGAGTGCTGAAAGCCATTTTGATGCCAGAATTTGTTTTCGCCTTCAGATAAAATCGTGTGTCTTTCATTCTCTGAAACCATTTAAAAAACTTTTAGAGGGTTTTAATAATTATTAAATTAAAGGAAAGGCAGGATTTCTGGATCCTTCTGTTGCTGCCTTGGCACCTGCTACTTATCCAGCCTACCCCCACATTAATGTAGAAACAAGTTAAAATTCCAGTGTTTCTTCCCATTAGTTTTCTATTTTGATCCACCCCGGTAATGTAGGCATGAGTTGTTACTCCATTTTACGGAAGAGAAAACTGAGATGTGTCAAGGTTAAATGACTTGTCTGTGGTCACACAATTAGTTAATGACCACCATTTCAGGATAAGAATCCAGAATTTTTAGATTTCTAATGACTTGTTTATTTAGCAACACTATTCCACCTCTAGTCATTAGGAGAGTCTTGTAACCTCAGCTTATAATACAGTCTTTGCCATGTCTTACCCTGGCCCCATCTTCTGAAAGCAAAAAGCAGGAGTCATTTCCTTACTAGTGGGGTGTAGGTGTTTAGACAGTACAGCATAGGAGGCAGAGGAGGGAGGAAGGTGGCACAATGCCCAGATTTAGTTTTTTTCCCTAAAGGTGGGAGAATCACTTTTTTCTACAGAGAACTGGGAAAATGAACAGAGTCGTTATTCCCCTCCCCTTATTTCTTTTCTCCTCTAAATGAGTGGTGTCCCACTGTGGAGTAAAGGTGTAATGGCCACTGTAAATGAGAAGATATCTTAAGACCAACAAACCAAGCAGGCAACTCCACAGAATGTAACAGAGTTTATGATAGGGTAATTTATGGGAAGATTGGGTCCGAAGGGAAGCAGATTATTCTCCATCAACAGACCCCTACTACTCTTTTTAATAGTATAACTCAGGTGTTAGATCGACAGGACAAAGGGAAAAAGAATGCAGTAGTTCCAGGGGCCATCCCTCCTGGTGGTCTCATGACAGATAGTTGTTTATAATTGATATTATCATCAGTTTGTTATTTATCTCAGTTGTCGTGCCATTCTGGCTATTACTAACAAAAATATTCATGGCTACATCTTAAGGAATACAGATAATCATCAACTAGAAAGCTTTGATATGCTTTACTAATAAGGTCAGTGAAGTTGGTCAAAGGTCACAGGAAACTTAAAAAATGAAATTAAATCCAGGACACAGAGATGGAGTTAGTTTTGTTCACAGCTACATCTATCTAGATGGGATTTCTTGTGGCAACTGTTACTTGCAAGGCAATGTTCAGATGACGTTCAGGGGAAACTAGATTGCATCTGAGGCAACAGGCTTTTCATGTAGGTACACTGTCTTCATGTCTGATTGAGACTGGTATGTTAAATGTACTACACTAGGATCTTAAACATGTTTGCAACTTGCCTCCCTTGAAAGTACTGAATTTTTTGAAGAGGTTGTATAGCATCATGGTTAAGGTTAGAGATTCTTTCTGCCCAGGTTTGAATCCTGGCTCTGCCACCTACTTGCTTTGTGATCTTAGACAAGTTATTTCACCTGCCTATGCTTGAGTTTGCTATCTTTTGTAATTGTCAGGAGTGAGTTGAAAGTGTTAATACATACAAAACAGAAGAATACACAATGTTGTGAGGAGAGTGGTTTTCCTTCGATCCAGCTCTCAGTCCTCTCTCATATCTATGGGGCGGGGGGGGGGGAGAGGGAGGGAGAGGGAGGGAGAAGGAGGGAGAGGGAGAGGGAGAGGGAGAGGGAGAGGGAGAGGGAGAGGGAGTTGTAAAAGGAAAATTCTACCTTTTAGAATTGCATTTCCAGCTGGCCTGATGAATCCTCCAGGCAACTGTAACCTCAACCAAGTTATAGCTATGAGGTCTGTCTGCATTTGAAGTGTTTCTAAATGTTGTCATCAATGGATTTATTTGTGGAGAGACCTGAAAGAAAGGAAACCAGAGGTGTGTACTTGTGCATTCTAGTCACACTGTTTTGGGTCCCCAAACCTGAGGGTGTAGGGGCAGCTGAGACTTAGTTGAGCCTTTTAGCGAGATGAGAATATTATCCAGCTGTCTTAGCCCACCTGGGCTGAATAATAAAATACCACAGACTGAGTTGCTTAAACAACAGAAATTTGTTTTCTCACAGTTCTGGAGTCTTGAATTCCAAGATAAGGGTGCCAGTGTGGGTAGAGGTGTAGGGGGAGGAGGCCACCTCTCTTCTTATAAGGCCACCAATCTGGTCTGGTTAGGACTCTACTTGTATGACCTAATTTAACCTTAATTACCTCCTGAAAGTCTTATCTCTAAACATAGTTACATTTGGTGGGGTTAGGGCTTCAACATATGAAAGGGGGGGCCCAATTCAGTCCATAGCATCAGCTTTCCTCTCCCCAGAGTTATTACCCAGTGAGGAAAATGGGTAAAATCAGCCTTGTGTCCTCTTTGGCTCCATGTGCTGTGTTATTTGTAAGACAGTGTTGGATCTTCCCACACACTGGGGAGGCATTAGATCTCCATCTTACTGCTGTCTTGAAGATTGGAATAGAGTGCGAATGAAGAGTAGGTTATGCTTACTCCTACCCTTCAAACTCAGAAATGGTGTGTATATGTGTGTGGGGGGGACCAACATTCTGGTGTGGGATGAAGGCCTGTCCTGTCACCTTTGTTGTTTGTTTAGACTAGGGACTGAAATAAAATGAAACACAGTGGAAGTTCTTTTTACCACCCTCCTCGTAACAAACTCCCAGGAGTAATGAACACTTTTCAGTTCTCTGTGTAAAACACACTTAATAATGCTCACAGCATGCTGAGTGCACAGCTAGCAGGCTGTTCTCTGCCTTACCCACTCGCTTCAGCACCCACTGGTTGAATTATGTGCTTACCAAGGGCCAGTTTGTTCCCAAAGCCATTTGTGCAGTTTTAGCTGTTATTGTAATTAAATAATGATATATTTAAATATTAGACAAAACTGATGAAATATGACTGCAAATGAGGTGGTTTTCATTTTTTCCGTCTGTGAACACTAGTTAAAAGCTTTGGAAAGGCTCAAGTTCAAGTTACTAAAAAACATTACTACTGTCGAATTGGATGAGCATTAAGATTGGGGGAATTATAAAATTCTTAGAATTTTATTCTGATACAACTCTGTGCCTGCATTTTTACTTCACTTTAAAGAATCAGAAATTGGAAATGATAGACAATGTATTATGTTTTGGTTCATGTAAGAAAGATGATGCGAGGCTCTTATCAGTGTGCCCTTACTCAGAGAGAGGGCCTTGCTCTATGTTAGAAGATGGGTGAATGAGTGTATATTTATATGTATCATGCAGGAATAAAAAATTTTAGGTATATCTTTTTAAGATTTCTTGCTTTATTTTGATTAACCTGGTTCTTGGCTTGATCATATTGGAAAAGAGAGTTTCTGTTCTTGAGATTCTGTTTAGATCAACATTTACATGGTGATGTCCTGATGATTTGATTTGGTTCCAGTTTAGTGGTTTTTGGTAATAAGTTTTATTTTGTATATGGTGTCAACTTAATACAACCGACACTAGTGGGGCTTTTGAAATTGGGGTTTTAAAGCAAATTAAGGAGGCTCATCCTGGAGCCACCTCCATTTTTTAGTAGATTCTCTGGCTCCCCTTGTAGACTCACAGCATATTGAGAGAGACCTGATACCCTTGTTTTACAAATGAGGAAACCAAGGCCTTATCAATGGTGAATTGTATGGGGTAGTGGAGTGAAGAGGGCATAACCATAGTGATGGAACCCTTCTCCCCAGCCTTTCTTTGGATGGACTCCTCTGGTGACAGCATTGACTTGTGCTCCCCTCTTTGGGACAGGACCAACCTGGAGGCTTTGCAGAAGAAGCTGGAGGAGCTGGAGCTCGATGAGCAGCAGCGGAAGCGCCTTGAGGCCTTTCTTACCCAGAAGCAGAAGGTGGGGGAACTGAAGGATGATGACTTTGAGAAGATCAGTGAGCTGGGTGCTGGCAATGGTGGTGTGGTGTTCAAGGTCTCCCACAAGCCATCCGGCCTGGTTATGGCCAGAAAGGTGAGGCTGCTTAAAAAAACGGATTGAATCAAGTTGACTTGAGTAACAGATAATTGGTTTATCTCTTAGAAGATGTGGCACGAGCTCAGCTGGCAGAGGCATTTCCTGGGTTGCAGCACCTAGCTGAATTTGGGTGGTGGTGAGTGACATTCTCTGTGCGAGCATCCGGAATTATAAGGCCATGTACAGAGATATGAAAAATGGCAATAAATGAAAGTGATACCATCTTTAGTTCAGCGTCCTTGGCTGTGGAATATGTAGATTCACTTGAGAATCCTGAGAATACCAGAGAATCCTCTGCAGCAACCATTTAAAAATGCTTGGAACTGTATGGTGAGCAGTTATACAGGGTTCCAGATTCCAACATGGGGGTCCTGATAGTTCATGAGGTTCTTTATTTCTTGTTCTGTTTACCTGGGTTTTTGTTTAAATTTATATCTTACATGAAAAAGTACAAAATTCAAAAGGATAAACCAGAAACATGGGAAAACCACTGGAAATTGGTTTTAAAGAGTACTTTAAAGTACTCTTCTTTAATCAGTTTTGTATCCAGCAGCCTTCCTTTGATTTGTAGAACTTATTATTTTTTAAAGATTTTATTTATTTATTTTTAGAGGGGAGGGGAAGGAGAAAGGGAGAGAAACAGCGATGTGCGAGAGATCAGCTGCCTCTTGTGCGCCCCCAAGCGGGGACCTAGCCTGCAACCCAGGCATGTCCCCTGACTGGGAATCGAACTGGTGACCTTTTGGTTCTCAGGCTGGCGATCAGTCTACTGAATCACACCAGCCAGGGCTGATTTGTAGAACTTACTATTTTATAGAGTATTTCAATATTTCTTATGGTTGGAAAAGTATGCCAGGATGGTATATGCTTTTGGCAAGGTGCTTTGGTTGTGTGGTGATTGAGGGTACCTGGCACTATTTCCTATATAGATTCTTATACCACAAAAAATATATATCTATAAATATATTCACAATGTTCATTATCAGTTTCAGGCTCCATTTGGAATGGAAGCTGAATATGCACATCCCCTGGAAACCCTAACTCTTGGAACTAGATTTTTTCCAGTGGAATCATTCTTGTATATGATCATATAGTTCTTTGGGCATGGGTGACCATTTGTTTGCTGGAAATTATTGATGTCCGTAGTGGTTATGATATTCCTTTCAACCCTTTAAATTTCATCCCTTTAAATTTCACCCCTTTCTATGCTGGTCCTCAGCATCGTGATTTTCATCACATGAACTTCATTGGGTGCTTCAACATTTACATGGTGGGATGGAATTTTTGGACCAGACCCTCAATCTATGGCCTGTACTAAAAGGACGAAGGAGATTGAGAAAAAATCTGAACAAATATTTATGTAACAGTTTAAAAAAAAAAAAAAAAAGACCTGGTGGCCTGAGGACAAGAATAGAAGGAAGACTGACTTTTCACTTAGTACCTTTTGTGCTGTGTGAATGTGAAGCTCATATTATTTATCAGATTATAGGTAAACACATTAATAATGTGTTAGTGTCTTTATCCCATTCCCAAATTGGAAATAATACCAGGTGACCCTTTGTTAGCATTCTCTATGTACTGGAAATAATACTAGGGTGCATGTTTATTATTTATCAAGTGCAGGAGAAGCTGCTCTCATTTACCCAGCCATAATGATGCATAAAACACTCATTTCATGTTGTTTCCCTGTGCCCCAGCCCTGCCAGTAGTTTCCCTCATTTCCCTTCAGTATAACATCTCAGCTCCCCACCATATGGCATGTCATCTTTAAGCTGCACTTCCTCCCTTTCTCCCCTGGGTTCTTTTCTTTCTGAACAACAGCCCCCTGCTTCAGTGAAGTTGGGCTCTTTCAGCACACCATGTTCACTCCTGTCTATATATTTTCATTTGTGCTGTTCCTTTTGTGATTTCAAAGAGTCTGCATCTTTAAGGCCCACCTCTTGTCTGGCTTGCACTAGCTGCAGCAGCCCACACTGATAACCAGTGCATCCATGTCCTCTGGCACTCCTTGTCTGTGGCTCTTTTTAGAAGTTCAGTTTTATTCAGAAACATTTTCATGTATGCCATCTGTCTCCACAGCTGAAACAAGGGACAAATTCAGATAAAACCTGAGGGCTTCACTAAATCTCAACCAAATTAGGCTCCTGAGTTCAAAGAGTAATCTCTTGGGCAGCTTAGCATATCCAGTTCCTCATTTCTTTCTACTCCTACAACCCTTTAGTATCAACCAAGTTCTCATGGCCACTTTCCCTTCATCTCTCAGCCTCACAGGTTTTGGAGGAAACACTTCATTTAACTTTTTTTTTGGGGGGGGGGTGATTTTTTTCCTACCTCAGTCTTGGCTCCTAGTTGCAGAGGCGTAGCTGGCCCTCTCCTGGTTATAGGTCCTTAAGTGCTAATACCTGCCTTGGAGTGTTGGCACTTAGTGCTTTGGTTGGGCAGAAACTTGTTTCTTAAAACTTGCCTGTTTCTTCTTACCCTACCTTTAAGAGCTTAAGCATTTAAGAAAGCTTCTATCCATCCATCTCTCCATCAATTTATATATTTCTAAAGTCTCTCTTTCTCCCAACTTTCTTTCCCCAGCTAATTCACCTGGAGATCAAACCTGCGATCCGGAACCAGATTATAAGGGAGCTGCAGGTTCTACATGAATGTAACTCCCCATACATTGTGGGCTTCTATGGTGCATTTTACAGCGATGGCGAGATCAGCATCTGCATGGAGCACATGGTATGTGACCATCTGTTGGCCTCTGGAGCCTGGGATTTGGGTGACTCTTGGCTGATACTTAGTCTGAGAGGCAACGAGCTGCTTTCTGCTTTTTCCTGGATCCCCACACTCTTTTGGGCATCTGGGAAACCTGACTATAGAATTTATAATAGTCAAAAGATGAAAGCTTCCTTCTAGATCCCTGCCTCGCTTCAAAGAGAGGTGGCAGCACCCAGTTATCCCTTGTGGGTGTTCTAGAGCACATCTCCCAGTCTTCTTGACCCCAAGATTTTGATGTGGGTAAGTTTGGTTAATATAGTTCAAATCCATTTATATATGCAATGCTATGTGCTAGGTACATGGTTCTGGGATTATGAAGATGAGTGAAACAGTCCCTGCCCTCAGAGAGACTATAATTTGCTTTAAGGGAAGCCCGAAAGGGTTCTTAGGGTGAGTAGAGAAGCAATCCCACCTCATACACAGTATAGCATGTGGGAGGGCATTTATGGGCTAATCATGTGTTTGAGCTGCCAGTCTTCTTACCATTAGTTGCCTGGAGTTGCTTTTTTCTCTTCCCAGTGACTAATAGTAATAATAACAAAAATAATGTTAGCAATACTAACAGTGATAAACACAATTTATTGGATGTATATCAGGTACCACCCTAAGAAAATTACTATTTTATTACATTTTCACAACAATCTTATTGTGTGGGTATGTTATCCCTATTTTACAAATGAGAAAACAAGCTCAGAGAAATGAAATAACTTACCCAAGGTCATACAGCTAGTAAGTGGTATTGTAGATTTTAAACTTATGTAGCCTGACCTCAGTGCCTGTATTTTGATGAATCCACTGGGTAGTGATTGGGGCTCTGTTTCCTTCTTGATGCCTAGAACTTCAAAGAGAGAAGCTGGCTTCATGGTTACTTTTTCCTCTGTCCCCATTAGGCGGCATGGCATGGGAGGCTTTGGAATCTGAGGTATTTAGTTCTATCTTCCTTCTTCACAAAAATCCAAGTAGGCACTTTCTTTTGTTTGCCACTGTGCCTCCAAAGCCCAGAATATTCCTGGCACACAGCAGGTACTCAGTAATTATTTGTTTACTGGTTGTCACTGCTACATCCATGTCCTTGGGCAAGTTATCATTCTGATTCTCAGTTTCCTGGTTTGTAAAATTGCCATTATTACACCGGCCTTGTTATGGTGAGGATTAATTATAATAACAGATGTATGGCTTCCAGCACACTGTCTGACTCGGAATGTGTCTTTTGCAAACATTAGCCTTTCCTTTATTCTCACTGGGGCCTTTATTCTTTTCCTTTATTCTTCAGAGATACAGGCTGACATGATTGACCTCCATACTCTGTGACTGCCGTGCTTTCAGTCCAGCAGTAGTGTCCCTCAGCAACTTCTTTACTTCCTTCCTGACTCTCTAGACCTGCCCTGGCCTCTGGAATTAGAGCCCGGTGTCTGGTCTTAATGAACTCCAGGAGAACATTTGTGTCCCTTGCCCTGTGTTTCCCCCATCCCCTCCTGCCTTCCCTTCCAGGAGGAAAAGATGACATGGGACATGACAAGAGATGTCGTCTTATTCTCTTGGCCCATTTCCAGTATCTGCAGGTCATTCTCCCCCCTGCCCCCCATGGACCTCGCTCTGTGGAAATAATGGGATCATCCCACACAAGTCCCTGAAACAGAAGGTATCTCTGGAATTATCCTGGGGAGCCTGAGCCTGAAAAACAACTGGCTCTCAGAGGCTGCGAGGGTTAAAACATTTTGAGGGCCAAGCAAGTGTCTGGCACCTTTTAGGTGGTATGTGTTGAATGACTGAATGAGGGAGGCCAGGATGGGGGAAGGAATGGTCAAGCTGGGGGCTCAGTGTGGGAGAGGCTTTGGAGTCAGCAATAGGGCAGTGTGTTCCTGGGTATACATAGGGTCAGGGGGCAGCTAGAACAGTCTCTTTATACTAAGAGAGAGACAGGACCCTATGGGGAAGCAGTTGTGACCTGAAGTTCAAGCAGCCGTGAGTACCGGAGTAGCTTTCTGCTCCAGCCCTGGACACTCTTATCCTTTTGTTGGTCCCTGAGGAGGTTCTCCTGCAGGAGAGTTCCTGCACCCGCTGCCCCTGATGGGAAGACTCTGACTGCTGGCTGCTGCTTGGGATTTCTGCTTTGCATCAGATTCTGCATTTCAAAGGTGTTGACATGTAGAGCTCTGTTCATTAGTCATATCCCAACTTTTGAGGTTCTTTGGTCCTCTCTGTGGTCCCAGTCTTTGCATGGTATTTGTTGTCATTAACATTTTCCCCCATGCTTACTATGAAAATTTGAAAACAAAATTGAAGGAATTGTATAAGGTGCACCGTAAACCCATCACCTAGATTCTTCAGTGAACATTTTGCCATATTTGCTTTACCACATGTTTTTCATCTATTCATTGCTTAAACTGGTGTTTTTGGATGTATTTTAAAGTAAATTGTGTCATTAACATTCATTGAGCCCATTCTTCTAAAGCACTTGGCTAGAGTCTGACCTCTCCTAGAAATAAATTGTGTGTGCACTGCCCAGTCTGAATTTTGAGACCCAAGGGATAAATGAGTTCTCCCTGAACAGAACAGGAATGCTCTTGTCTTTGGGGAAGTAATTTTCTGCTTGGGTGGTAGCTGGGCAACCAGAGGACTGGGGTCTCAGAGTTGATGGCTCTCTTGCAGGAGTAAAAGCTTCTGAGCTCTTTCTTTTCCCCGCCCCATAAATCATTTATCTCTTCTATAGAAAACCTTCACAAAAGCACCATTGACTTAGTTGATAATCAGCTTCTAAAAATAAGCACTGTTGCAGCAGCTTTAGTCAGTAAAGGCAAGTCCTTGGCAACAGTGAAGTAGAATTTAAAGGTTGTGAGGTGAGTTGCAGGCATCTCTGGGTAATCCTGACTGTGGTTCATGCGTCTTAAATCTTGTTAATTCCATTGTTCACACTATAACTCTGTTTATAGTTTAGAAGGAGGTTAAAGGGAAGAGAGCCAAGGTTTCTTCCTTTTTATTAGAAATATTTACCACAACTCCCAGAGAAAGTGTAAACCAAGACAGTTGGCTGGGCTGCCCTCTGTCCTAGGCTGTGGAACCTGAGCACCACAGAGTTAGCTTTTCTACTTCACTTGAATCAGATTTTGACAGACTTGTTTAATTATCTTAAGTCCTCCCTGAAAATTAGGCAAAGCCGTTCAAACAAAGGATCTGAAACCACATTCAGTCGGAAGCAAAACAGAAAAGATCGGGAAACTTTGGCACTGGAGCTTCTCTTCCCATCAGTAAAGGAAATTCAGAGGTGCTGGCTGACTTGGGTGTGGTTACCTGGATGATTATGTTGCTCCGATTTGGTCACCAGGACCCTGTGGCATTTCAAAGGCAGCCAGGCTCACAGGATGAGCCTGAGTTGGGCTCTTCTAAGTGCTCTTGGAAAATAAATGTGCTTACAGGGAGTTCTTTTGGTTCTAGATTACTAATTCCACTGTTGTATCTGTGTGGAGATTATGCACATTTGATTTTTAGGTTGAATTTCAGAATCGTCTACCATGCTCTTTGGTGGACTGACCCACTGTTAGATAGTTGTACTAGGGAGTTTATTATTATTAGAAGTAAAACATATTTAAGGGTGTTAGTGTGCTTTTGAGAGTCCACACCTGACTACTTTCTTTTTCCATCTGCATGTGTGATCCAGAGTTGACGTGACAGGAAGTGATTGGTCCAAACTGTCTCTTTTTATAAATGAGCTCAGCACTTAGAAAAGGTAAAATATTTATTCATTGTAGAAAATTTGTCAGCAATAGAAAAGCGCAAAGGAAGAAACTGTCATGCAACACAAATCCCCAATAATCTTACTATGTTGATTGGAAATAACCATTGATAACATTTTTGATGTTCTGGTTTTGTGTGAGTGTACAGAGACTTTTTTACTTCTTTAGTATATCATGTTATGCATGCTCTGTGACTTCGCATTCCATGGCTGCATCATAGACACTTGGTGATTTTGGAGAGAACATCTCTTTGGTCTTGCCCACCTTCAAGCTCAGCTTCTGTGTAACTCCTGTTGGGAGTCCTTCCCTTGGCCACTCTGAGGAATCATTTCCCCCTCTGAACACCTGTAGCAATGTCTGTTCTTTTCATTCAGCTATTTGTTCCCTGCCTTGTTTCAGAGGAGGATTTAAGGTGCTTTGCCTCTTTATGATTTGTCCTATCTCCACAAGCAGAGTGGTTTTTTTTTTTTCTCTGTATAGTTTTTTCATCCCTAGTTTCTTACATCTCCCTGTGCCTTACTCAGAGGTGATTAATAAATGATAGGTGATGATACTCAGTGTAGACATGATACTTTAGAAAATTAGTCTGAGTTTACAGGAATTATTTTGCCTTCTGAGGGTAATTTTAAATTGTGGCTGATAATTGGCTACCCCTGAAGCCATAGGGGCACAGACTATTTGTCTTGACATGAGGTTTCTCTGAGTGAAGCTTTTCCTTAAGATCTCAGGTTAAAATGTAGGATCCATAAACAGAAAGGCCCTGCCTGGTGTGTGAGCCTTGCAGAGGCTGGCTTCACACCATGCTCGTAGCCTCTCTTACACTTTCCCTTTCCGCTACCTCTGTCCAGGGTCCAGCTCATGTCATCTTCCCATGATATGCTCCTTGCTGATTGCCTTGCCTCTTTCTCTCAAATGAAGTTCTTGCCATTCTTAAAACACCCTTGTGGGATTCCTATCCATCTGCCTCCGTCAAGTCAAGTCTTGGTTCCTTAGTGGGGCTCTGTGATCTGGCCACAGCTCGACATTTCCAGCCAGATCATCACTGCTTTCTTCATGCACCCACTGTGAAATGAACCGCATGTCATTCCAGCAGTACAATGCAATTTAATGCTACTGTGCTTTTGATCTTATTGAAATACCTGTTTTTTCCTCCCCTTGTTCCTCACCTGTTCCTGGTATGGAAATCATGCTTATTCTTCAAGTAAGATTTCAGCTCAAATGCCATTCTTCAAAGTGAAATCAAAATTACTTCTCCTTTTTCTGCACATCTACAGCACTTTTCTATACATTTATTTCATTTTTAAAAATTACTTTATTAGGAGATGTATATTTTCTGTTAGTTTGTAAATTTATTGAAAACAGGAACTAGGTCTTTTTCATATCTCTATTTGCCATAGAACCTAATATAGTCCCTGGGACTTGGTAGGATTTGTGAAATGAATTTATTGCATTCTCTAACATTTTTAAAATTTTTATTAATTATGATTTATTAGGATAATACCAAATGCAAGTTGTGACATACGGTGATAAAATGGCTGATATTGATTGAGCACTTACTTTATGCTAGAGATTGTTAATGTTCATGCTGTGTATTAGCTCATTTAATACTTATAATAGTGCTATGATTATTTTAATAGCCTTATAATTATTATAATCCCCAATTTATAAGTTGGATAACTTGGTCAGATTCCCCTGGATAGTCAGCAGCACAGTTGGGATTCAAATTTAGACAGTTTGCCTCTGTCTACAATACAGTGCAGATCAAGCCCTTTTCTTGACCACTGAATTAGTAATTTGTTTGATTATTCATAGGATCTAAGTTACTAATTATTTGATATCCCCCACAATATTTTGCATTCATATAATATTTGATGTCTGGAACAGACAAAAGGGTACCCTTTTAGGAGTCTTCGCTGTGTGAGATTCACTTTCCTCATGAAGTTTAACACTTGAAAGGTAGAAACATTGTCACTAAATGGGCTGGTATTCTTATTCTTAGGATGGGGGTTCCTTGGATCAAGTCCTGAAGAAAGCTGGAAGAATTCCAGAACAAATTTTAGGAAAAGTTAGCATTGCTGTGAGTATATCATTAAGTTTTTTTTTTCCCAAGTCCCCTTATTGATAAGTTAATGAGTTAGTAGGAAATAGACAAGGGAGGAAGCTAGGAAGTCAGTAAGGGAAAGTTTGTGAGAAAATGGGGTTTACTCACTAGCGTATTACCTATCTAGATTCTCTCTCATTAAAACTGGAAAAGCGACTTACTCTATATTAAAATCTGTCTTGAAGAATATGATAGAGTATCCAAATAATTCCCATTTGTGGCATCAAAAAGCCTCTTTTTAGATTGCAGATTTAGTAAGAAATGGATGCAAGTGTTTTTTAAATGTTGTTTAAACTTGCAATAATCAGTTTTACTTAAAAATAATACCCTATATGCCATGTGAAAAAGATGGTTTCTTGGTAAGGGAGGTTAAACAAAAACAAAAGAAAATAAAAAATAAGAGAAGGGGCAAATTGATGATGTGAGATAAAATAGTTTTTAGATTATTTTAAATTACAGACATTGAATGTTTTCTAAACACCACTGTTTCCATTTCCTAACTTTTTACATTCTTTTTCCTCTAGGTAATAAAAGGCCTGACATATCTGAGGGAGAAGCACAAGATTATGCATAGAGGTAAGAAATTACTTGCTAGTGCCCTGGCCAGTGGGGCTCGGTTGGTTGGAGCATTGTCCCGTAAACCTAAAGGTTGCAGGTTTTGTCCCTATACTGGGCATGTGCAAGAGGCAACTGATTGATGTTTCTCACATTGATGTTTCTCTCCCTTTCTCTTGCCCTTTGTCCCCCTCTGTAAAATCAATAAACATTTCCTTGGGTGAGGATTGAAAAAGAAAAGAAATTACTTAGTTGTTATTTTTTAAATCTTAAATTTTAGTGGAAATCTAAAAGTTGCTGTACCCTCTTTTGTGTTTTGGTGTAGAAGTTGATTAATACTATTTTAAATTTTTATTACGAGTCTTCGGCTGTTTAGCTTGTTGGCTGGAGCAAGTTCCACCCTCTTCTTGGTCTGTGGTACGCATGTCACCTGGAGCTGTAACAGGCATAGATGGCAGGCAGCCCAGGCCAGAGGCTCTGCTAGAATTTAGTTACCCAGCGCCCTGTGTCACTGTCTGTCTGCTGGACTAGATTGTCCAAAGCCATGACAAACCTCCTGGATGTGAGATTGACTATAAAAGAAACTCTCTTTTTTTTAAAAATAAAGGTACATATGCATTTGCTATATGACCATACCACTCTTAGGTATTTGTCAAAGATCTGTAAACAGATGTCCACATAGACTCATGTGCAAATGCTTAAAGCAACTATAGTTATCATAGAAACAATCAAAATGTTCTTTAGCAGGCAAAGAGATAAATTGTAGTATCTCCATATAGTAGAATACTATTTAGCAGTGCAGTGAAAACAAATAGCTACTGATACATGTAATTTTGATTAATCTCAAAAACATTTATTCTGGATGAAAGCACAAAATAAAATAGTACAAACTGTTTCCATTTATATAAAATTATAAACAAAACAACAACAAATTTATAGTGACAGAAAGTAGATCAGTGGTTACCTGAGGGTTTAGAGAGTAACTTTGAAGGGATGTGAGGGGCTCTGGCTGGTGTGGCTTGGTTGGTTGGAACATGGTCCTGTACACTGAGATTATGGTTGTGGGTTCGATTCCCAGTCACGGCACATAGCTATGTTGCGGGTTCTCTCCCTGGTTGAGGTATGTAAGGGAGGGAACCAGTCGATGTTTCTCTCTTGCATCCATTCTCTCTGTCTCTGTCACACTCTCTCTCTTTCTGCCTCTCTGTCTTTCTCTCTCCAAAAGCAATGAAAAAATGTCCTCAGGTGAGGTTTAAAAAATAAGTAAAGGGTGTGAGATAACTTTTTGGGGTGATGGAAATGTTGTATTTTGATTGTGGTGGTAGAGACATGGGAATATGCATTTATCAAAAGTCAAACTTTCCATTAAAGTAGGTGCATTTGACAGTACATAAATTATACCTCAATAAACAAAAAAAGATGAAGAAGCTAGAAGAGGGAAGACTGGAAAGTGCTGTAGACCATGACCCTTCAGCTACAGTGTGCCAACAGAGGAGGAAAAGCAGGGAAGACTGAGGAGGGTGAAGTGGAGTGGAGCCAGACCGGTGGAATCGAATGGCTATCTTAGGAATAATTATATTTTTAGGTGATAAATTCTAAACTTTTAAGTAGGCAGTTTTTTTAATTCAAATTTTTTAAAATTGTGGTAAAATATACATAAAATTTGCCATTTTAAACAGTTTTAAGTGTACAGTTCAATGGCATTAAATACATTTTATATTGTTGTGCAACCACCACCACCGTTAGTGTTGTTAAGGTGCCCGTTTTGCTTTAGATTGAAAGTCATACCATCAAGAATCCCAGCAGCACTTTTTTTGTAGAAGTGACAAATTGTGTCTAAAATGTATATGGAAATGCAAAGGGCGTGAAACAACCAGAACAACTTTGAAAAAGAAAAATTTGTTGACTTACACTACCTAATTTCCAGATTTGTTACAAAGCTACAGTAATAAATAGAGTGTTGTATAGGTGTAAAGCTAAAAGTAATAGCTCAAATAGAACAGAATGGAAGAATTCAGAAATAGACATATATAGTCATTTGAGTTATGACAAATATCACAAGGTAGTTTAGTAGGGGAAGAATAATCTTTTCAAGAAATGATGCTGGAACAATTGGATATCCAGTGCACAAAAATGAAACTTTATTACACCCTATAAAGATGAACTGTCAGTAGATCCTAAGTCTAACTGCAAGAGTTAAAACTATAAAACTTCTAAAAGAAAGCATAGGAAACTCTTAGTGACCTGTGTTGTAACAAAGTTTTTAAATAGGACAAAAGAGGTACAAACTATCAAAAATCAATAAACTGAACTTCAAATTAAAAACACTTGCTTTTCAAAAGACACTGTGATAAAAATGAAAGGACAAGCCACAGACTGAGAAAAAATATTGGCAAAACATATATCTGTCAAAGGACTTTATCTAGGATATATAAAGACCTCTTACAACTTAATAATAAAAAGATAAATAGCCCAATTTAAAAATGGGTAAAAGATTTGAACAGAAACTTTACTAAAGATACGGCAAATAAGCACATGAAAAGCTATTTCAACATCATTAGTTATGAAGGAAATGTAAATTAAAATCCCAGGGAGATTGTGGTTTTAACTACATTAGAAAACACCCAGATTTTAAAGAAACTGACTTACATGTTTTGAGGATGTAGAGTAACTAGCACTCTCAGAAGCTGCTGGTAGGAATGTAAAATAGTACAATTATGTTGGAAAATTGCTTATCAGTTTCATAAATGTTAAACATGTTCCTACTGTACATTCAGCTGTTTCATTCCCAGGATTTACCCTAAAGAAATGAAAGCACATACCCAGTCAGGAACTTGCACACAAATGTTCATAGTGGTTTTATATATAATAGCCGAAAACCAGAAACAACCCAGATGTCCGTCAACAGTTGAATGGATACACAAATTATGTTATATCCATATATAGCATACTACTTATCAATAAAAAGGATAAGTTGTTGATACATGGAACAGTACAGATTAATCTTGAATGATACTGGGTGAGTCAGACAAAAAGCACATACTATGTGATTCTATTTATATAATTCTAGAAATTGCAAACTAATTTGTAATGACAAAATGCAAATCAGTAGTTACATGGGGAATGAGGGAAAAAGGAGGAAGGGAAGAATTACAAGGGAGCATGAGGGACATTTTGGGTGGTAGATATGTTTATAATCTCAGTTGTGGTGATGGTCATATGTATTTATCAAGTGATATACTTTAAGTATATGGATTTATTTTATAAAAATTATATACCAATAAAGCTATAAAAAACCAAAAAGAAAAAAAAGGTCAAGTTACTGAAAACCAGTGATAAAGAGAGATTCTTAAAAGCAGCCATGGAAAGGGACAACCACTTTGGAAAACAGTTTGTTAGTTTCTTTACAAGTTAAACCATGGAATTGATCACCCCCACTGTTTAGCATTCACTTAAGAGAACATGAAAACATTTGTTCACACAAAGGCTTGTGCACAAATGTTCATAGCATCTTTATTCCTAATATACCCAAACTAGAAACAACCAAAATGTTTATCACCAGATGAGTAGGTAAACACTTTGATATATTCAAACAACAGATAACAGCTCAACAATAAAAAAGAACACTATTGATAAACACAGATTGGATAAATCTCAAAAACATGTTAAGTGAAAGAGGCCTGACTCAAAAGAGTACATATTTTATGATTCCATTTATATAACATTCCAGAACAGACAAAAGTAATCCACAGTAACAAAGTAAATCAGTGATTGCCTGAGAGTCTTGAGGGTAGGGATGGTAGTGTAGGCATGGCAGAGGGAACTTTCTTGGAGTAATCAAAATATAAATGTTGATTTTGGCGGTGGGTTTGCAGATATATACATTTTTCCCAAAATGCATCAAATTATACACTTAAAACACAGAAATATAGAAAGCCTTCTGCTTTTCTAACCTCACTAGCTGGTTATCATTTGGTCCTCTTTCCACTGATAATTTAAAAAGTGTCAGTAGGAGATATGTTAAGGCTTAAGCTTGCCTTTAGAGGAAAGCAATTTTCCAGCAGTTTGTGGCCCTTAATCTGTGGTTAAGATCTGAGTTCCACGTTAGACTATTGTAGTGTATTAATTTCTAGGAAATAGAAGCAGCTGAAAGGAGAGGAAAGATGAACATTTCTTGAGCATGGGGCTGTGTTCCAGGGCTGTGATTGACATATGTAATCTCACTGAGAGGGATCCATGAAGTCAGTGTTAGAGGGATCTGGTGGAGCAAAGCCATTACGTTATCGATAAAATGGAATCTCCATGCCTACTTCTAGGTTGCTGTGAGGATTAATGATACTATAAGAAGAAGCACCTGGCAAAGTATTTTGCATGTGGAAGGTCCTAACAAATACTAATTGCCTTTCTTATTCTTTTATATAATTTGTGAGGAAATGGAAAGTGAGATTAAATTCCTTTTTTGGGCTCTACCTCTGTGTGTGTTTGCCTCACCTTTGTTCTTACTACTACTTTTCTAGGGAGTACTTCCTTCCACATCCCCACCCGACCCCCTCGTGCTAACCTTTGCTAGACTGAGACTGCTCGTCCTTTAAATAACAGCACTCAGGCTGGGGAACAGCCAGTTGAAGTTCAAATCCTGACTCACTTATATAAAAGGGTATATGAACTCTGAGTTATTTATTCATCTGTAAAATGAGAATAATTCATGCCAAAGAGCAATGATTGTGAAATACATATTTTTATTTCACATAGTTGTGAGAATTAGTTTCCCTCATAAGTCATTAATAAATTTTAGCTATTAGTAATATTAGTATTATTTAGCTCAGGCATCTTCTGAGAAGCTTTCCCACGAACCATCCCCTGCCCAGAATGGATTAAATATGCTGCCTCTGTATTCCTTTGGCACAGTATCCATTTCACTCTTATTGTAATAAATAACGATCATTATTTATTGAGGACCTGTTATGTACCAAGTGCTCTGTTATGTGCTTTATGCTACTTATCTCATATATTGTTCATAA